CCCCAGTTTGCTAAAGTTTACATTTAATCTCACTTTGATACTTACTAATATCTGCTTTAGCATAATCTGTCTCCTATCCTCATGCTCCCATTTTGACTAAAATGTGGCATAACCACTGGGTCCAGCTCTTAAAAATACACAGCCGTATTTTGCTTTCCCCTTAGCTATGCTGACAACTGCCAGTGTTATGTCAGCAGACAGTGGGACCTTCTAGAAGAAAAATGTATATCCTTCACACATCTGGTCGTGTGGCTGTATACTGTAATGATCAAGATGCTCTGCAAGTTACAAGAACAGGTTACCCAATTAAGAGCTTTTCAGTCATACAGAATGTACATTCAGAGATTACTGTATCTGGACATTTTTTTCTACTCTTTTTTTAAGTTCTGTTTGGTTTCTGAACCACCTCCAAGCACACACTATGCACAACACTGTGGTTATCACTGTAGTTTTAACTACCCGTGCTCAGATGGAGTTTGTCCCACGTGCTTTCAGCATCCAGCCACCCCTGCACCCCTTCATTAGCACAAGGCATGAGATCTCTCCTGGGGAGAACCAGCTCCAGGCCAGTGAGGCCAAGGAGTTCCCAGCTGCACCAGCCTGACCAGCTGTTAATCCCACTCTGTTACTTGTACCTCCTCTCTGCAGCCTGTAGATGTGAAGCATCTGCCTTCCCTGCACCCCAGGTAGCCATACCACTGCACCCTTTCTATGCTGAGCTCTTCCAGGCAGATCCGTGTTATTAGAGATATAAATTCTGCTTGATGGAATCTGACATCTGAAGCCTGACGTAAAGAAAGGGTGTTCACACAGCTGTGTGAACACAGGCATATGAAAGACAGACAGTCAGATATGCATCTTGTTTTTCATTAGGCATTTGCATATTTCTCCAAAAAGGATATTCATAAAACCTGTATCTGTAGATAAAAACCTACCACTGCTTTCTGTGGAGGCTGACATAATGATTTGGCTCCAAGGGAAGCCAAACTGGAAGCATTTCTTCAACCGTTTGCATAATTTTTCTGAGCTCTGTAAGCTCAACTAACAGAAGTACTAAATCCAAGCCATCTTTGGTTTGGATTTTAGTACCCAAACCATATTTAATGGTGTCTATTAAGCCTTGTTCTGCTCATCAGATCTCCTGTTACAGGGGCACAATTAATGGTGAGTGAAAACTAGGCTTCCTACCCTGCACAAGTTTTTCTAATATAAAAAATATTTTATCTCCATGAAGACAAATCCAACACTTTTTAGAGAAAGAGAGAGGTGCTACCTGAATCCTCTTCTTTTGAGAAAAGGGTTTCACTTTTTGTAATTACTCAGTAAAAAGAGTCACAAAGGCATTACTCAGGGTTATAACATTCGCATGAGAGGTGGAGGAGCCAAGTTTGGCTCCCTGTCTCAATTACTATTAGTTTACTTAAAGAATATTGACTGCTTACAACAGAGGCACTTGAAGACCTCTCTCTGCATGTAGTAAATAGATGGATAAGGCTCTTGTCTCAAATGTGGGAGTAACAAGGACTTGAATCCAGGTCTTCCATGTCTTGTAGCTATGCACTGGAAGATCTCATTCATTCACTGAGGGCTGGATGCCCTATCAGATTTCACCAGAAATTCCCATTTGGGGCCTAGAAACGTTTCCTCACATAATTTGTATTTTCCAAAGTATTTTACATACCTTGGAAAATTTCAGATTATTTTAATTGATGTTTTCTAAGAAGAAGCATCCTCATCATACAGTTCCCTACTACATTGAAGCTACCCAATTTTTATTGATTTTTCCTGTTTCCAAAGAGGGGCAACAATTTCTCCCTCTCCTTTGCAGAATGGCTGTCATTGCCTGTAAACACTTTTCTTTGTTTTAGCCACAGGCGATGTACAAGAAATTGGTCAACATGACCTCAACCACCATTTTGTAGTACACAGCACTGTGTAATACAGAATGAACTGGGAACAACAGTAGTGCTCCAAGCTCCACCAAACTAAAGCAGTTTAGCAACAGAGAATTGTCCAGCTTAGAGACAGCAGCTAGATGTGTCCTATGGTTGCCAGTACCACCAATTCAATGGAGGTTTGGTGAAAACCTAGAGCTAATGTGACTGTTCTTTTGGTCTCTTGGCACTTGATAGCACAGCCCAGGAATCAAGGAGCAGCTGATATGGATTTTGAAGAACAACAAATGCAAATATTGCAGAGGTAAGGTTATTGTGGTGCAAGTGATTCCAAACTGCCATGCTCTGTAGGGATGAAAGCTTTCTTTCTCATGAAGATAGCTGTTCTAAGCAGTATACTCACTCCATATGTGTACACACACATATTCACATAGACTTATATGGGCAGTTCTGGAAGGATTTTTTTTTCTTTCCATTGCACTTGCTCTCAAGCTTTTGTGCCAAGCCGAGGAAGGAGGAAAATAAGGGAACATCAGAAAGAGACTGGCCCACACCCTTCTTAGTAATAAGAAAGATAATTTGGTTTCATTGTCACCTGTGCACTGTGCCATACACAATCAAGAAGTCTTGGCAGATAACAAGCACCACGTGCTTTGGCAGTTCATGGGTGCTAGGCAGAGGAGAGGCAGCCAGTTCTTGAATGGGTCAGAGAAATATAGCAGGTGGCTGCACCACAAGCTAGATTTTCCCCTGAGGCAATGTCTGACACAATTGGCAGCTCATTTCTCCTGCCTTTGGATGTGAGCTACTGCTGAATGCCTCCCTTGTTCTAGGGCTGGTACTGAGCTAAATGTGGGCCTCTTGCCAATGATTACAGTTCCCATTAACTGGAATATACATTAACTTGAAAAATTGTGGACCTCTCAAGTGAGGGAATGGCCTGTTGTATGCATCCATTATTTCTCTGGATTCTCTGGAGAAGGATCTCTGTTGTGTGCTTATTATTCACCCACAGAATCTGTTTGTTTTTCCTTTTCCTTTTCCTTTTTTTTTTGGGGGGGGGGAGGGGGGAGGGGAGAGGGAAGGCACAGGGAGGGCAAAGGGAAAGAGGAAAAGTGGCATTATTGAAAACAGTTCCATAAAGGCCTGGGGGCAATTTCATCACCATACAGCAGCATTTTAGGCTGTCAAGTGCCAGCTGCAGCCTGCTGGGGATGAGCAGATACACCAGCAATAAGAAGCACCTCAAGCCCTGCAGAACAGCCAGAAGCTTGCATCTTCCTCTGCTCAATCATGTGTGTATATACAAGACCCTGGAAGCCTGATCAGAGAGAGGGATTACAGCTGGGAAGAAAGTCAAGAGAAAGTGCAATGCTTAAAGCACTTGTGAGAGCTTCTTTGAACCCAGGATGCTACCTATGGTTTACACTCACCTCTGATCCTTCAACCTTCAATGAATCTGCCATCCTGAACAGGTTTTAGCTATAAACATGAGTTGTTAAATCAATGTGCTGTTTCTCCTCCTGAAGCCTATAACACAGTCTCAGGATTTAAGATGCTATTCACTTTATATATCAAGAAAAATCCTGGTCCACATGTGGGAAAAAATGTGTCTTGAGCTACTATCCAGCACTTCATATGTTCAGGGTATTGATTTCTAGTTTGGCCTGTGCAGCCTAGGAGATTTAATTGGTCCTGACCTCCTTTTTATCTCCAGCCCATGTGTTATTTTCAGTGTTGTCTGTAAAACTGTGTGTCTCAGCTCATCTCTAAGATCAAGTTGCCATTTCACAAAAGGGACACAAGAAAAGCCCTGGAGAAATGATAAGCTAATATCTGCTGCTATTTTTCTGCCCTCATCATCTTCCAGCACAGAAACAGGTGTCTTGGGCTTTAAGTTCAAGAAGATGGTGCTACATATTACAATAAAATACATCATTTTGCAATAATTGAGATGTGACCTGTTTGAATAAAACAAAGTGAAAATTCCTGTCACTTTTTTTTGTCTTTGTGCTTAAATAGGAAGGCATGACACGGAGGATTTATTGGACACTTAAAGGCCCCAGCAGAGGTAAAGTCCCACATGTGCTTGGTATGGCACAGACAAAGGACTCTAGACATAGGGTTTACAGCTTAAAGAAGTAAAGAGATGAGGACCAAGCACAGAATAACTTTTTTTTTTTTTTTTTCTGCACGCAGGGAATCAAGCAGAGAAAAGTCAATTATTTACTCAGAGTTTGCCAAAAGGCAAACTGAAGTTTATACCACACAGAAAGAAACAGAAGGGCCCCTGAATTCCTCTTGAAGACTTTTGCCATGGAGTTGTTCTCATATTTGAAAACCTTACTGATTTAGAGAATGATTAATTGATTAAAAAATGATTAGGGGACCTTAAATAATTAAATATTTCTTTGATCTGGAGGGTCTCGTACTGTGTCTCTAATCTCACAATTTTACAATTATTAGCCAGAGTATTAGCCTCTCTCCTTTCCTCAGGATAATTTCTTTCATAGTTTTAATAAACTGATGAATCTAAGGTCATACTCCAAGTAAAACAGAAAATCTGCAGGGCTTTGGTCTGGCTGTTCTTTGTAATGAACTATGGTAATGAGCTTGTATTTATAATTTGGTGTTTCTTTCTGCTCCAGTGATGGCATCAGTTATTCTTGGTTTTATATTGTCAAGTTCCATTTTTCTTTCTTTCTCTCTCTTTCTTTTTTTTTTTTTTTTTTTGGGGGGGTGGGATTTAACATTTCATGGCCATATTTACTAAAAATACATTCTTTTGCTGATCTGAGGATTTAATCGTTAAACTCCACATGTGACTGTTCACTGCTGTCATTATTGACTTTCTAGGCTGAAAGGCAGGAAATTCTCTGCATAGCTGACCTTCCTTTATGGTTTTAGCAGTGACTTGTGACACAAAATTCTTGTCTGCTTCATTTCAGACCTGGTCTTATAGTAGTACTGTTAACAGCATTTTCTGTTGCTTAACTGCAAGTCATGGACTTAATGTTTGCATTGGCTACGTATCATTGGATCATTGGAATTTATAACAATGGCCAAAATGTTGGGGAAAAAAAAAAAAAAGAAAAAAGAAAAAAGTGCAACTGAAGGAATGCTTTATGTTTAATTTTCCAAAAGGATTATTCTGTGTTACCCATCAAGGACTAGATCCTTATAAGCTGTTGTAAATCAGCATAGATCCTCTAAGATAGGTGGAGCTCTGGTGTTTTTCAACACTCTGTTGAACAGCTTTTCAACACAACACAAAAAATGCAAACACAACTGTTTCAACAACTGTTGAAAAACACAACTGTTTTTCAAGAGTTTTCAACAGGTACCCTAGCAGCTACAAGGAAAATTAATTCTCTATTTTTAAGGTGAAAAGAAGAGAGAAAGAAGTCAGTCTTCCATCCATGACTTTCCATGATAAGTTCCGTATATCTGTGTTGACATCTATATTTCCATGCTGACTCCTGTGTCTCCATGTTCCTTCCTCTCAGAGATGGCTTGAGTACCACCATCCTGACTGATGCTTGAAGAGCTGAACAGAAATAACAAAAACAACATGAAAACAAAACAGTCAAACAAGAATTCTTACATATTCTGTTAATAATTTGGGGTACAAAATTTAAATCCTCAGTTTTCACAGTGGAATACACATGTGAGCAAAACAGTCTCAGTAGCACATCAGTTTTATCAAGACTGGATTCAGGGGAGACTGGCTCATCGTTGCTGTGCTTAACTCTGAGCATGCTTGAAGTTGCTCTGAACTCTATTCACAGCCCCATTTTCAGTATTTAGGCTATCTGTATAGTGCCTGGGGAGAGAGTCTGATGTCTGAGAATGGTTCACATAATCCAGGCTGAAAAACAGAAATGATCTATGCAAGAGGAAATACCAAGCAGAAAGGGGCATATTAAATTTTGTATCCCTTTCAAGCTTCAAGCTAGTGGAAGTTATTTGTCTCTGTTCAGGTTCATAAACATGAATTCTCTCCTGACTTTTTGCATCTGAAGCAGGAGAAGGATCTCTTTTCAGTTAAGTAGTTAGTGTGCACAACTAGGATCCAAGAACCTGTATTCAAATACCATTCAAATACCTCTTCTTCCTGAGGCAACTTGATCTTTCATCTCCCTTATGCATCAGGTGTCTATAATGTTATTCTGTTAATGGAATGAATGCTGTTTTCAAATTAAAAAATGGATATCATAGTAGGTAGTAAGACCTGCATCACCTGTGTGGGTCTATGATCATGCCAAAAGAGTCACCCTCACATTCCTTCTCTTTGCAAGAATGAATATTTTATTACCTCCTGCCCATGGCAATAGATTCAGTAATGGAGTTGAAAAGCTCCATCCCAGAAGATCCTTCAATTTAAGGCTTAGGGTCCTCTTCTATGATATGTATTGTCATCTTCCCAGGCAGAGAAAGACTTAGAACCAGGATACATTATAAAGTGGGTGACTTCTTGAACAGTAAAGTCAAAGAGCGAAACATGTGACCCCTCTGCTTCCTGATTATGAAGAAAAAAACTGAAATTTGCAGCATGGTAGTTGAGAAGGGGTATTTTCAGTCAGAAAATATTGTAAATATTTAGATTGTAAATATTAAGATAAATCTCAATATTTTGTTTGAAATATGAAATAAAATGCAAGCTGTTCCTTGTTTTCAATATAGTTACAGTGATACAAGCATTTAAGAAACTTCATAAGGGAAGGTTAGGCACACAAGCAATTCAGGTATCTGCAAAGCTGCATGAGTAGAATTTAAATTTTTGTTATTTAAATGTTGGTCTAAATTATCAGTTCAGCATCTAAGTGCTCTTGAGAATATAAAATCACACAGCTAGATCAAGGTAACTAGGGAGCTCTGGGGCAGAACAACAAACAGTACGATGCGTCGATGTCCCTTCTAACTCACATCTCCAGAGTAGCACTCTGTGGCTATGCAAGGTTGATCCTGGCCTCTTTACCTGTGAGGTTTGGTGAGATTCTGTCATCCAAATTGTTACTGCAGGATAAGCAGCAGCTGAGGTGACAACTGAAGTCATCACAAATAATGATAGTCAGCTACTCGGTAGTCTGTGTTTTGATTTTTTCTTTTTCCTCCTCTTCTGTGCTCCTAATTATGTGGGAGCTACTTAGCCTCTTGAGTAAGGTTCTTTCTCTTCGTGGTAGATAACATTGGTGCTGTTGAGCTGATGCCATGATGGATTGGGACCTTATATTTTGGGCAAAAGAATAGAAGGACCAGCATTTAGTTTCTAGACCCATCTCTACAATCAATTCATTCTGAGAGTGAGTCACTTCATGTGTATGTCTCAGTTTATACATCTCTATTGTGGGAAGGAGACGAATGTCTGTGTCATGCATAGATGATGTCCCACTGTGCTGGCATATTAACAGGCAGATGTCTCATGGCTGGATAGGCAGGGCAGGAGTCTGGCTGTAAAGCAAAGCTTCTGGTTCAGAAGAAGTTTCTGCCCACACACACTCGTTTTTCAAATTGAGCCAAGAAAAATCTAAAAAAATAAAATAAAAAAAAATGTCTGATAGAAGATATGTGAGGAATTCTCTCAGTGACTGAGGTGTCAGGACAGACTGGAACCCTGCCTTGGGTTTGGCAGAAGTTCATCAAAGTTAAAGCTGAACTGATGTAATGCACTAGTATTCTCCAATGAAAAAAAAAAATATCTTCTCTTCGTCCTTTCTTAGAAGACCCAGCAGGCTGCTAATATTGGATTACCTGGTGACTTCTTTCTCTTTGTATTGTCTTTTTATTTTATAAATTATTCCATACAACAAACTACTAAACATAGCGCATAGGGACACCTCATTTGAAGCATTGGTCACTGCAGATCATCCCCTGGGAAATATGGAGTTTCCACACTCCCAATCTGCTGCAGTTGTCCTTTCACCACGACAGTACCTGTGGGAAGGAAGGACAGCTTTGGAGTACCACTACCATCTCTCTGTTTTCACTTTGCATGGATCACAAAATAACAGCTGACTCCTTCCCTATTTAGTCTTCACCCACACCCTTCCTTCCTCTTCTATTTCCAGGTTTCTCAAAAAGACTGTGGTGGAGTAGCAGTGCACACAGACACTGAATGACAACATCAGGATGGAGGAATTGAATGGAAAAGCTGCTCCCTTGGAGTCTAGTCATACTGCTAAGAGTTACACGAATGTTCATTTTTACCCCTAGCAACCTGCCAGAGGAAGTAGTTAGTCACCTCTTCCCTGTGCCTGAAAGGTCTCACAGATACTGGGAGAACTGGTGGAATCACAGCTGCAACACCTAAATATTTAAGAACCAGCAACACATAAATATTCACCTTAACATGACTGTGACAATGCCCAGCACCACACTGCTTTAAAATCTGAATATCAACTTGCCTGAAGATCAGTTCTTTGCTTCCTGGCTTCAGCAGCATGGTACCCTCTTGCAGCAGACACATCTTCAAGATGAATTCTTCAGCATAAACTCTTCTGCCTGACACTTCCAAAACAATTTAAGAGTGTTTAATATTTATAAATAGTGAAGATTTCTCCACTGTTTCAGCATTCACTATAGTTGCTGTGATTCAAGCCTCCAGCAAAGCCAGAAACTGCCTTGAGCTGAAACTGGGCAACCATCTATTAAAATACAGTCATGAGATGAATAGAAGCTATAGAGCTGAAGTGCCTTGAGTGCATGTGAAGATTTATCTCACAGCTTCATCTGGAGAGCTCTTTAATAGGGAGGATATGACTCTCTGTGTGCATGCATCCATCTGGGAGAGAGAAACTTTTACAGTTTTAAATGGGGAGAAAGGGACATTTACACTTTTTGAGGAGATTCCACAGGGAGAGCATCATTTTACAGAGACATGTTATATTTACAGCTGCATTTCCTGTAAAACAAACAAACAAACAAACAAACAATACAGATGGAAATGTATCATTCATAAAGTCTTAATATCAGATTTGCCCATTTGCCCTACAGCTGTGATACACACAGAGCTGTAGTCTAAAGTGGAATGCCTGAAGATTCCACTAAGTGGAGTCCTGCCACAGATGGGGAGAAGTCAATTTGAGTTCAAATAAGGACAAGGCCCCTAGAGAGGCTCCTGTAGCTGGATTCAGACTAAGGAGAAATAAAAATAATAATAATTAAATAATAATAATAATATCATAGATTATGTAACTTCAGAGTAACTTCTTCAGGGTCTGAAAAAGGAGAGATCTGTAATCATTTCATTCCCTCATGTCCATCTGACCTATATGCAAGTCTTATCGCACATCTCCCCTGTCTCCCCCAGTTGCTGCTTCTCTGTTGCTCCTGCAGTACTTTCTCTGGAGGCTGGAGGTGGAGTAAAAGATTAGGGAAGGAAATTCCTGGGATTCTTCTTTCCCTTTCTAGGGTGGCTATATTAATTGGTGACAACAAATGAGCATAGGAATTGTCCTGTTGCTCACAGACGGGAGGAAAACCATCCTGTGGGGCTTTTTTTTGCAAAATACTGGGGGACGGAGCCAGGCTGAACTCCTTCATCCTCTCTTATAGACAACTTTTCCTTTAGATATAAACAATTAAATGATACAGCACCTCAGAACATTTTTTCCACTCCCCATCCTCTATCTACTGCCACCAAAAATATGTTCCTTAGTTGCCTCATTGGATTTTGAGTTTTCTCATAGTTTTCTTTTATCTCTCAAGCCTGCAATGTACATTCTAAGTAATGCAGTAATGCTTCTTCCTGGTCTACTCGGCTTTGAAGCATCTTATTCATAGCCTCTGCTGATATTAAGATCTTCATGCCATGGTAGCCTGACTGATGCACTTAAGTTAATGAAGCCGTCTATTCCCACTTTGTTAACTTGCTAGAGGGTTTTCACTAAGGTGGTTTACTAATTTAAAATGTACTTCCTCAAGCCTTCCATCCTGATAGAAGTCTTTCCAACAGGAATTATATCACTTTTTTTTTTTCTTCTCAGCAGTTGGCAGGTCATTACCCTCTTACTACTGTGCAGTTTGCACCTTCTTGATGCAAACACATCCTCTCAGAACTGGCCATACTGATGACTTGATTCAACTTCTCCAGAGAGCACCTGTTCTCACTCCTAGCTTTAGCATTGTATTCAGATCCATCCCTAACATATTTCGGTAAGAAGAAGAGTATATAATGAGCGAGATAATTAGCCACTCTCTGTTTTAATTATACCTTTTGCTATCTTCTTGACATGCAAAGAGCTGTCTTACATTCATGTGCTGTTCATGTGGGAGTAACCTGAGGCAGTATGAGCATAGGAAAATCCATGTGTGTAGGAAAAGAAGTGAAGTCGCTTTAGGCAAGGCAACCTTATATGACCCTCCTCCTTCCTTTGCAGCTGGTATTACTTGAAGCTGGTACAGAGAAGAATAAGGGGACTGAAGCAAAGGCCAGAGTTTGGCATGAGCAAGGCAGGAGCTGAGCAGGTTTTCTCCTGCCTTCCTGCCAGTGTCCATTAATCCTGAGCCACAATGCCCTCTTCATTCCAGCTCTTGATCCTTCCCCTTAATTCTGCTATTTATACCTTCTAAGTTGGACTCTGCTCTCATATATGCCAATTTTACACCAGTATAAATAAAGGCAGTGGATTTTTTTCTGGCTTACATTCACCTATAAAAGAGAATTAGACACATTACTTTGAGGCACTGAATGGGGTATACCCTGTCCCTTGATTCTGCTAAGTACTCTTTATATCCCAATTTTTCAACAGTCTATTCTGACACACAGCAACCTGTTGTTATTCCAGTGTTGCATTCCCACCAACCACTGCCATGTGCTCCCCAGCCCTGTCCTGAAGTTGCTGTTGGAGCTGCACCACAGACAGTACATACCCACAGCTCCTTCTGTGCTGAGTCCTTTTAGGATAATGCTTCCAGTGTCATCTTCCCTGGGGCCAGCATCAGGGAGGAAACATCTGTCACTAGCCTTTATGTTCAGCATCACCTCTCCACACTCATCTTGGGTATTATAGACTGTCCCCATAGCACCGTTGAAGAGAGCCAGTTAAGGATTTGGACCTTCCTGTGCTCTGCACTGGCCAAACAGAGGAAAAGGCCAAGACTTGTCTCACAGAACTGAAGTCTAAGTGCAGCATTATATGTTCCTAATAAAGGAGTGATTATATGAATCACAGTAGCAAAATGTTCTTGCAGAGCATATGCTCCACTCCCTGACTTAAGCGTCCAAGTGCAGCTGTACATCATTCCAGAGGAGCTTTTTGCCTTAGACGCAGGTTAACGTACAGCCCCCTGTGTTACAGAGGAGTAGCAACAGATCTACCACTCAAGGGTGTCCTTTAATGAGGTCGCTTGTGGCTGTTTATTGGACAAAAATGAATTCCAACTGGCCCATATAACAAATGAAACTCAACTGCAAAAATGTAATGATATTTATTCACACAGCTGCCAGCAAACTCACATGCACTATGAGTCATTCCAGATGTGGATAAAAACAAAGTCTGTCTGTGAAAGTAAGTTTCCTGATCCCGAGGAGACTTGGTTTGGGAGAGGAGCTGCACACTGACTTCAGCTGCACTCGGAAGATCAGACAGGTTCTCCTTCAAAGGGGGAGGGGGAGAGGAAAAGCCATTTATTTATTCCTGAAAAGAAGGGAGGTAGAAAATAAAGAAGCTAATATATAGCTAGACATACTTATTTTAAAGAAAAGGATGCTTTGGAAGACTTTGTTGCTGCTGCTATTCTATTACAGTGCTCATGCCACTGTGACATACAAATGGAGCAGAGGTAAGATTTAAGCATGAAAAAACATTTAAGAGAAATCTTTGAGTTTGTAGATTTGGTCTGTAATAATCTTCCATTTTATATATGTGTAATTTGACCCTCCCAGATCTGGAATTTCATTTCTTCTTTAAATGGGTCAGTTAAATAGCTACATAGACGAATAGAAAAATACACATGCATAAGTGCATAAAGGTAAAATTATTTATATATTCTGGTATAATAAAAATATTCAAGAAATATCCCAAGAACCAAAATTATTTATTTTCTTACTTTCTCCTTTCTCTTTCTCCTTTTTCTCTTGAATTAACAGAAAATACATGTCATGAAACTTTAAATGAAAAAACCTTTGCAGCCACAGGTGGCATGATTTTCTGCTCTACCAGGCAGATATCTGGTAACAGGAAACACAGTAATGCACAGCTTTTGCAGGATGCCTAGAACTGCCTGTGACACTGTGCTGATAGACTAGCATACACAACATATAGAAAGATACCTAGGGTGTTATCAGGCTTCGATGGCGAATATGACAATACATAGTCATGATATATTTGTATTCAAGTGTGTGAGAGTAACTTATAAAACAGTTTAGGACTATTAGATTGCATATGAGATGCTTGCTTAAGAGCTAGTAAGGATGGTCTTTCCCTTCCAAAAAGGATTTTTTTTGCTTTTGATACTGACATCTACAGATTTCCAAAGGAACTGGAGTCTGTTAAATCAAGCACTCAAGTGCCCTTTCCTACCTTCCAGCCCCAATCTTCCATTTCTTTCTCATTATAATTTCTTTCTAATCTGCTCTTTGGATTTCGTATGAATTTTCTTATGTGAGGCAAAGTCTGAATGAAATAATGAAGAGATATGCAACTCTGCTAAGTCTGTATCGATATTTAATTGTTCCTTAGAGTCAGCAGGGTCTTGCTGTCAGGACATTGACCTGAGACTCACAGTGTCAGGTTCTTTCCTTGGCTTTTACATCAGCCTCTTGAATGGTGCTGGATGAGTTATTGTACCTTCACACACCTCACTTTCTTGTGACTGTATAATAGAGGTAATGGCACCTCCATGAAAACCTTAATTTTCCAGATAAGTGTTTGTCTTTCCAGTGATGACACATAAAAAGGTCATGAAATTAAAAGTAGATTTGCATATCTGAAACATATCTATATATATATAAATAACATATATATATATATAATATGTATATATATATATCCTACCTTTTGGAAGAATGAGGACACCCTATTTATGAAGAGGGGAAAAAAAAAGGTGGGGGGAGGAGGAGGAAGGTCCATTTCCATGAAATAGTCACTACGCATTTTAAGGATGTTCATTGTTTGCTAACCCACTTACTTCAATTAAAAAAAAAAAAAAAAAAAAAAAACAAGACAACCTTAAAAGAAACCCATGCAATCCATGCAATCCAGTTTTAATCACCATGGACATTTAAAGGAAAACATCAGAACTCTGTTCTTCCTTTTGTGAAAGCAGATTATTTTCAAGCTGGAATCTCTACAGCTTGTTTTTTGAGATTTCAGAGGGAAAAGGAGATTCATTTACTGTTGTGATAAGGAGTTTAGTGCTCACAGATATTATATAGAGACACCTTCTCAGGAAGAAACCAGACTTCTCCACAGCTGATGGGACTGTGCAGATGCAGTCTTAAGGGCATGACTCCTTCAGCAATAGCTGTTTCAGAGTACCTTCACTCCCTTAAAATATCTATGTGT